GCAGCATACAAGTTTAACAATAAATGAATGAATGAATGAATGAATGAATGAATGAATGAATGAATGAATGCAGGAATGCTGCTTTATTTTTCTAGGGTACAATACCAGAATTTTGAATCTTGAAAGCCTATCAGAGTTTTGCTCTGCCCTAGCTCATACCAAATAGTATCAAAGTGGGGTTATTTTTGAGTTTTTTTCTTACAGTTTCCATTTTCCCAGGACTGAGTTGCCATTTCTTCTCCCTTTACAGATCATCCATTCCTTCACCAAGGAAATCTCTAATTCCTTTACACTCTCCCTCTTTTAATTAAAATAATTTTTGAAAGATCTAAAAAGTCAATTGCAGGCAGGAAGCCAAATGGGCACTAAGAGCTTCGGGCACATTGGTGTCCACATATTCCAGGAGTAGGTTGTGTTGTGATAGGAAGGGAGAAAATGGGAGGAGGCCCTTTCCATTAACAGCATATTATTGCCTAGTCTTCTCCCATACCACATAGACTATCCCATTTAGGAGAGTTTTCTCAACTCTCAGTATAGCATTTGAGAAGGAAGGGAGGGCTGGAAGCATTGTAATGGGAGGAAGAGTCCAGGAAAGTCTGCTTTTGTATCCTATTTAAACATAAGCTAAATCTGCTCCCAACTCTTTAAGTATATATCATCCTACTGAAAAAATGTGTTGTTATTATTAATGTTAACAAAATTTGGACTCTACATATAGTAACTCAGTTTTGGTATTACTGAGGAATACCAGATTCAATATGAGGAAGCAAAAACATTATAAAGCAGCTTTTTAGATAAAGTAACCCTTTTTGCCAGAACAATCTTTTAAAATACATTTTATAAATTCTGTTGAATGATAATATGTTAATTATGCTTATTTTCTTTTTTAATAGATGTTCTGAGAGAAACAGGAGTCTTTATTACAAGAACAGATAGCAAAATATGGCTTACACTTATAATGGGTGAGAATTTTGCAGTTCTTATTTTCTAATAATACATTCTTACAGGTAACTCTTACGTACTTCATTTGGATTTACTCCCAGATTAGAGTATATAAGATTGCACACTGAGATTCAGATGTTGATACCCTGTTGGTTCCACAGAGATAATGCAAGTAGATTACTTGGGTATATAAAGTTAAGGATATTTCTTACAAAAGCTGTAAAATATTTTCACATGGTAGCTGAGTTAGTCTCTTGCAGAAAAATACAATGAGATTTATGGCACCTTTGTCTTAATCTTGTTGTTAAGGGTCTAATATATGACAAAATAAGCATTCAGTTTTTCAAGTGATATAAAAGCCTACATATTTCATTAATAAACTGTACATATTTGCATTTATATTTGGAATTCTTAGAAGTAAAGACAGTAGTTTAAGGATAATGATTGTTGGTATTAACCTTAGATTTTTTAGCTATGAATCCAGAAATTATACATTTGAGAGTTTCCATATTTTTATTACACAGATACACCCGGACTATAAGTTTTAAAATAAGATGCAGCATTCTCATGGACTGTTGAGTTGTATTGAGTCTATCCTGCTGTTTCCTCTTCTGCACTATAGCAGAAGTTGCACTGATACTCTTGTGTATCTTTTTTTTAATGTAAAATATGCTTCATGAGAAGTTTTTTGTTAGATGTACCCTAAATACTGCATCCTAATACTTTTGAAGAATTAATATATGAATGGAATAATGCAGGTATCTATTTGATCTGTTTCACTCTGACTTGTACAATTATATATCTGAAATTAATAAAATGTACAATCTGAGTATTCTATAGAAAACATAATATGCCTTGTGCAGAGAAATATTCTAGGTTTTTGCAGCATCACATATATACATCCTTTAAGGATTGGGCTTACATTTTAAAAAATGAATTTAAAAATCATTAAACTGGTATGTTCTGTTTTATTTTTCTTTACAGCTGCTGTTGCAGGAATCCTTCACTGGTAAGTTTATGTTTAGCAGACAAAAATGCTTTATCAAAGTCCAGTTACAATGGCTTTATCTCTATAATTTATGTCTTAGGTCCCTTTTTTTTTGGTCCGCACTCAGTTGTTACCGACTCTACGGTGACTGCTTTGGACGAGTCCTTGCAGTTTTCAAAGCAATTGTTTTTTGGAAGTGGTTTGCCAGAGCTTCCTTCCTAGGGCAGAGCCCAGCTGGCGAGCGCAGGAGGTGGGTTTCTGTTGCTTTGTGCCCTTTTCGGGCCCGCATGGTTTTTTGCGCTTACCGGCAACTGCTCCCAACTCCTTTTTGCAAGGTGCCGCCAGCATTTTTCCTCCCACCGGAGTGAGAGTACCCATTTATCTACTCGAGTACCC